CCGGGATTATTAAAGTATTTCTGATTCTGATTCTCAATTCCAAGTGCATTGCCCTAACCACTAGACCACTAGGCCGCCATTCCCCAATTTTATTCTCTGTTGGTCTGCTGTGTGAAAATCCCAACAAAACACATTTATATTTATGGTTGTGTGGAACCTTTGATCAACATGTAAACATCTGGGAACTCGTGTCAGCTGATATTCTGCATATTGAAGCAGACAAACAGATGCAGGTGATGTTAGAGACGAGGGAGCGGTGATCCACGCAGAGACTCCAAGCAGAAATCTCCACTTAATCCTTTTGTAATTCATAATATCTCTGCTCCTTTCTGCTGCCTCTCCTATCCTACATCCATTCTTCACCACCTCCTCATCCTCCGCCCCCCCCCCTCCTAACAAATCTCATGAAAAACTGAAACCTTTCATCCGCATCTCTTGGTTCTGATAAATGCATTGTTTCACTTTCATTTCCATATCCTCTGCTCAGCTGTAACTTAGTCCTTGTGTATTTCTTTTGTCCTGGTAAATCCTGTTTAAATATTGATAGAGATGAGGAGAGCTGCTGCTGCCCACTCGGTTAGAGCTAAGAGGGTCGAGGATGGCAGCATTTCTCTGCAGATTTCATTAGAGAAGCACAGGAGTGTAAATACTGAAACACGTGAATCGGAGACCTCCGACCTTCATTACTCCCCTCCCCATCACGGATAATGCCCCATAATGTATTCAGAGATGGAGACGGAGGATGGAGGGTGATGGAGTGTAAAATAGCATGTGTAGGAAGTCCCTGTTCTTTTTTTTTTTCGCTACGAATCGCCCGCCACCTTCGCAGCCAGATTCCCATTAGAGCAGGAGCTGACGACTGCATGTGCAAATGGTTCCTGCGGATTAGACGGTTAATGCATTTAGGAGAGAAGGCTCCACAATCTCTTGATTGCTGCTGCTGCTGCACAGAGCAGAGAAGATACCCAGTCCCTGTGTGGAAACAGAGATTTAGAGCAAAGTGAGTAGATAAGCCCAAGGATGGGCTAAACATTCATGATACACAAGCTCATCAGAAAATTAAAGGTTGACCAAGGAGACTTCAAATGGGCTGTCCTATTAAAACTCAGCATAGAAGTAGATGTTACAGGAAAGAGGAGCAGACGGCAAGCTCACTAATCTTATTAATCAGCGTCTAGGTTTCTTATTTCTGGATCTATTTTGCTTCGTAAAGAGATAAAAACAAAACAAAAAGTCCTGTTTTAGAAATTGAAAAGTGGTTTTAGTGCAAGCGTAACGCTGTAGGGATAACTTCAACTTGACCTAAACATGCAGCTGGAAAGCATAGATAAAACTATTTAGAATCAGCTCAGAGGGCTGCAGGGCGTCACATTAATATGAACAGATCTGTTGTTGCATTTTACATTTACAATCAAATTGCAAACTTTGTTTTTACAAAAAAATTTGCTAAATAGAAACACTACAACTTTGAAACACTATGATTGAAAAGACTGGAAGTGAATGGAGGATGATCGCGCAGCATGTTTGGATTCATAAGATGACTGAAGCTTTTTAACATTCAGTTTATGACAATGAGCACTTGAGCCTCGGCTAAAATATGGGTGTATTTTATTTTCAAGAGCTATCACATGGACAAGTGTATTCATGTGCAGTTTTCAGACATAGCAAAAGTACTCACTTTCCGTACTTGAGTAAAAGTACAGATACTTGTGTTAAAAATACTCTGGTAAAAGTGAAAGTACTGATTAAACTTCTTTACTCAAGTAAAAGTAACAAAGTACAGGCTTGTAAATTTACTTAAAGTATAAAAGTCAAAGTAGAAACCACTTTTTTCATGCCGTTGCCTACATTTTAAATGGATGTCTGCCAATAGGACTAGATCTCCGTTGTGTTCATTTTCAATCATCTCGTCGTCCATGCTACTATGCTAACGCCACCGCCACCAAGCTGCAATGATTTGCCGCGAATGAATACCGCCGAATCTGTCGATTCATCTTGTAGTGGTGCGTCAAATGCAACGTAGATTCCCATCCAATTAGATTGAATTTGGTATTGATGACGTAAAAAATAATAACGGTAACTCCATTGAAATGATTCAAAACTAAAGTAACGAGCCAATTTTTTTAAATGTAAGGAGTAGAAAGTACAGATATTTGTGTAAAAATGTAAGGAGTAGAAGTAAAAAGTCGCCATAAAAATAAGTAGTAAAGTAAAGTAAAAATATCAGAAAAATCTACTTGAGTACAGTAATGAAGTATTTTATACTCTGTTACTTCCCATCTCTGGCAGTTTTTAATTGTATTTCTTATTTTTTGGCAGTGCTGCTAATTGGAATAATTTGCATTTTCCCTATTAGCAGAATGTCAACATAGTTTTGCACACATTTGTAATCTACTCTGATTGAGCTGGAGTCATTTTAGAGTGAAATTTTGGAAGCATTTCAGTCTCTAGTGCAAAACCGTAGCCCTGTAAACATGGGCGGTTCTAGACGGGGGCCTACAGGGGCCAGTATCCCGTAATTCCTGTGCTGGTAATGAATATAACAGTGGGAATGTTTACTTTATTTAGTGGCTGCAATGATTGTTTAAAGTCGTAGGGAAGTCATATTAAAATGTCAAATTATTCTGGCTTAAACATGTATATAAATGTAATCTTTATCAGGCTATATTGTCCCAAAATTTAGAAAATTTATATTTTTAGAAAAAATCCTTTCTAAAATCTGTTTTTTTTCCCCGTTATTTTCTGCATGCCAGTTAGTTATACATCAGCCGAAACACCTAAATTTGGCCAATCATATATCAACGGACATCTGTCAATCAAATTTTTTTGGTTATAGCATCTTGATTTATATGTCGCAGCTAATATACACAACGGTTGAAATCAGAATCCTTTCCTTTCCCATTGAGTTGCGTCCCAGTGTTCACGGGGATGGACGTCTGTGTCTTCGGCAGGCGTAGAGCTAACAGAACTGGCAGCGTTGCGAGGCAAGGGCTCAAACATGTACGGCTGGAAGCCTTCTACACCAAACCAAGCTTCTGCCGCCCTGGCGTCCTCTTCCACAACATCTTCGTCCCCGCTTTCCTCCTCTAAATAAAAAATGGATGACGGAGGAGACTCATCCACGACCTCCGACACTAAACTCTCCTCCTCTTGCATGTTTCCTCTGTCCATAGCGTTCCTTGACAGCGTCGTTTCTAAGTCACCAATTTAGTGCTGCTTGGTCCCAATGGAATTTCCCATTGGGAACCTACTAGCACTAAGATGCTAACTGGTTAGCAAGATGCTTCCAACAAATCGTCCACAACCAGACTTGCTTGCGAACCTTCCACCAAAACAATCCTGCACCCTTGATAAATGACCAATCACATTCACTTTATCCACTCAACTGCAACGGTTGGAACAGCCATTTTCCTACAACTTTAGTATTTAATAATTCATCAGCCTACCAGATCTTTCAGTTTGGATCTGCTGTTACCCTGGCAACCCTATAGCATTTCCTGTAAAAATAACCCTAACCCTGCTATTAGAATTCACAATAAAAGCATAAGGTAAATGGAACATTACAGAACGTGAAATGTTTCTCTATGCACAACCTTTGAATCGGCTTGTGAAGACCATCAGTTTTTGGAAAAGCCCTGGAAGGACAAAAAAAAAAAAAATGTAGATCACTTTGTTTCATCCAAAGCTGCTCCTGGATGACGGTCTGATTCGGCGGCACTTCCTTGTATCAAGCCGGGCAGAGAGCACCGGTGCTGAAGAGAGGAGGAAATTAAAATGGCTTATTTAAAAGCCCTCTAAAAGCATTCCTTATTAAATCAACCGTATTTTCTTTATAATCCATGTTAACTGATAAAAGCTTTGTCCTGGCTGCACTTCTTTCAAAACCAGTCCCTGACTGGTAATAACAATAAATGTCTTGATGCCCAACAGAGTTTGCTTTCACATGTGGAGCAGTACGGCTGTCGCCATAGTTTTCCGCTATTATAATTCATGCAGGGAGTTTTACAGATTATATGGACACTGCAATGTAAGTAGAACAGGAAAGGAAAAACAGGAAAAAGATGAAAGATAAAAGTCTTAAGTCTGATTCATCACCTGCAAAGAGAAGTAAAAAGAACAGCACAACCAATGGATATAGTATAAGAGATACAATAAAGTAACACCTTGATACTATTGTTGAAGTATAAGTAGTATTATTTAATCTGACATGAATACTGTGGTAGCTGAAGATAAAAATATGGACTCTCTGTATGGACGTGAATCACTAAGCACCTGTAGTTGTTTGTGAAAGTGCACTTGTGCATGTAAAGTTTATCCAAAGCAAAAATGCTCAATAGTGGTTGTGACGAGCCAAAGACCCGCCCATCCAGAGCACTGAGTCTGTCCCTGGGGGACCCAAAACCGCAGATGCCCAAAGGGATCCCCAGAGCAAAGGCCAGGAGAGGCCATCCCAGACTCCCCCAACCTACCCCCCCACCCCCTCATAGGGAAGAGAAGAGATGGCCCCTCCAGCTGCTGAAGCCACGGGGAGGAGACAGCGGGCTCCGCTCGGCAGCCAGCCACCCTGAAGTGGAACGGGCCGTGGGCCCTGGAAACCCGAGGCCCCAGGGGCACACCACCACCACCCTGTGTATTTTTTTTTTTTTTTTAGAACCACAACTTTCCAGTCTTTTACCTTGAGGTGAATAAATGCCTTCAAAACCAATAAACTTCTAGAGGATTATATATATATTTTTTTAAATATTATTAAAATAGTAAAAATAAGATATTTAATTAGTCTGAGGTCCTTATTTTTTAATGTCTCTGATGCAGTTCATATAATAATTTATTTATCATACATTTATAATGTATTATGTCTTGGGTACAGAGGCAATAAAAAGGTCCAGGACCAATTTAACAGGGGCACTGGCCCCTTTTAGCCCCCATCTAGAACCGCCCGTGCTGCAGCTGCAGAGTGGGATCCTCGGTCTGCTTTCATGAAAGGATTCCTCTGCAGTAACAGCAGCAGGATGGGAGGATGCCGGTGCGTTTTTTCCTGCGTCATTTTTAGAGCTAAAGCTGAATGTCGGTCATCAGGCAGCCATGGTGGAGGAGTTTTAAAGTCATGCAGCAGGGAGGGGCCCCTCCTCTGCTGAAGGATCCATCTCTGCTCTAAACGCCACAGTGAGTCAGCTGGAGCCTCCGATGAATGAATGAATGAAGAGGAGCAGGACGCACTGACAGCCGGGGAGCCAGGTACCGGAGCGCGCTGTTGACGCATCATCCAACAGGAGGAGGAGGAGCAGGAGGAGGCGGAGGAGGAGGAGGGGGTCTTATTCTAAACTCAAATCCTTTAGAAGAGATTTACGGAGCTGCTGCTGCGGGTTCAACCTTCAGGAAGACGCAACATTTCTCTCATTTTTCCTGCAGAGGATCCAGTTTTTTCTCGGATATTTGGATCAACTGCGCAGTGAAATTAATCCAACCTTTAATTGGCATCGCTGTGGATTGTAGATCAAGGCGTGGACAGAATCAGCCGCCCCATCCATCATTACAGGTTTGATCCACCGGGGGTCCGGAGCCACCATGACAGGCCCCCCGCTGGTCCCTCGGCCCGCATGCTGACGGTACCGGGCAGGATGGGAGCAGCTCTGCCGATACCAGCATCCGGAACCAGCCGATTCATCAATGGAGGAGGAGAGTGACACCCGGAAAATTAACAACAGCTTCCTTCGCGATCACAACTATGCAACCGAAGGTATTTTATTAGGATTTCACATTTAAAATAATGGAAAAATAATAAATAAAATCCACGCACATCTATTGGAAGTTAATTTAGATTTATAGACTTTTATTCACCTCAAGAGAAATAATAAAAATCCACTCTGCAAAACATTTAAATCTCAATAAGTCATTTTTTCTTAAAATAAGTAACATTTTTCTTGAATTAATTAATTAATCTACCTTTAAAATACGAAAAAAAAAACTATTTCATTGTCTTATTTCAAGTGCATATTATCTAGTAATCTTAATTTAAGAGTAAAAATACTCATTCCATTGGAAAATCATCTTATTTACCTGCTCAAATTAAGGTTAAATACATTAATTTAAGACATTTTTACTCATTTTACATTGTGCATATTTCCTGTGCTGTATCTGACATGAGGAGCTGTCTTCCAATGATCACCTGTTATTTCAGATTGACCACAGGAATTAGGACATCTTGGGTCGCAGGGGATTAAATCCACCTGTAATCTGGATATAACCCTGTTTAAATAATAGAGGGGAAAATGGGGCTTTCCTGACTCACTTGTTGACATTTGTTACAGAGAAAGTGTCCTAATTATGGAGCAGGTAACACAATGAAATGTGATATCTTTCTTAATCCCGCCTATAGACACATAAACATGGGGTAATTCTCTAAAGCAGCCTTTTTAAAACTCCCAACGCTGCAAACAGCTTGATGTTTTATAAATAATTGTTATTGTAGGAAATAAGGTCCAGAAAACAAACTGCTTTCATCCAAAATATTACAGACCCCCAAAAAAAGAGGTAATGTAATAAAAATGTTGATGCAGATTATGAGCTCAGGTAACAGGTGCCTTTCCATGAAGCCTGGAGAAGAAAAATCCAATAATAATTTTTTATTCTGCTGCTTTTTAGCAGCTTAAAGCAAATGCAACGTGGAGCCCCATCACTTGCTCAGCGTTGGAACTTATTAGATGATTCCCCATCACTGCTGCTAAACACCGATGCTGCTTCACAGTGAGAGGAGGAGAAGTGGGGGTGGAGGTGATGGAAATCTTTGTTTAATGTCTGAGCTGAGATTAAAACTGGGAGGGGAATCTTCTTATTCGCATCGTCTCGCCGTCTTTCGTTGCGTCGTGCGTTCAGCAGATAAAAGGGACGAAGATGAAGGTTACACAGATTGTAAAATTAGTCTCCTTTTAGGGAAGTCTGAGGCCCATCTGTGCTTTTAACACGTCTACTTTTGTTTTTTTTTATGGCTGGGATTTACGACTGATTGTTGCTCTCTTCATGTATGATGAATAAGTGTCTGTCCCTGGATCTGTGTGTCTGCATCTATGGAGTCAGGGTGCAGGTGAAAGATCAGTGCGCAGGCTGGTGTCGGGGTCCACTGCCCATCCTCATAAATTCAGCAGAGGGCACATGCTGTGTCAGGCCTGCTCTGTTCAAACCACACACACACACGGCGCTCCTGGATGGGTGGTAGTGGTGGAGAGCCTGTGGGGCTTTCCCTTAGGGCCATCTTCGCCCACGACAGCAGGACATTTTAATGATGTCACTCATGGTGACCCGCGTCTAGCACCAATCCCATGCTTCAGCAGATCCTGGTGGTTACTAATATGGGCTGGTCATAAGCTATGGGTTGTTGTCTTCAGTTTGCATAAAGAAATTTGTTATTTTTTGTTAAGATTTAAAGCTTACAGCTACTTAGAGAAGAGATATATACATAAATCAAGTGGAACACTATGGCGAACTTGCTCCACTTGTGAAAGTAAAATCAGTTGGGCTGTTTTTTGTATCAATACAATTATTCTTGTTGCCACATTGCCAGACAGGACACTGTAAAAAAAAAGAAAAAAAAAGGGAGGAGATATAGACTTTTTGGAGGCGCATAGAAATCGCATAGAAATTTTTTTAAAGTCAGTAAAAAAGACTCTTAAGTGCTACTAAATGGTGGAAACCAAAACATCACCAGGGATGTTTTCTAATTCTTGATCAATTCTAATATTAATTCCCAAAGATCTATTCTTATAACCCAAGAGCAGTAAAATAAAACATTTTCCACTGTCTTACAGCTGCCACTAACTACTATTGCTTCATTGATTTGCTGTTGCTTGTAAATATAATACTCCACTTATATAAATCGGATAACGGATAATTTAGTTTTATACCTGCAGCCAAACTGAGATCTGACCGAATAGAAAAGAATTGATTTTAAATCCTCAGAATCAAATAAATTCTTGAAATTTGAATCGATACTCAGCCCCAATCGCCAAAACTAGGCTGGTATTAACTAGGCTGGTATCAACTAGGCTGGTATTAACTAGGCTCATATCAACTAGGCTGGTATCAACTAGGCTGGTATTAACTAGGCTCATATCAACTAGGCTGGTATCAACCAGGCTGGTATTAACTAGGCTGGTATCAACTAGGCTCATATCAACTAGGCTCGTATCAACTAGGCTGGTATCAACTAGGCTGGTATTAACTAGGCTGGTATTAACTAGGCGTGTATCAACAAGGCTGGTATCAACTAGGCTGGTATCAACAAGGCTGGTATTAACTAGGCTGGTATCAACTAGGCTGGTATCAACAAGGCTTGTATCAACTAGGCTGGTATCAACTAGGCTGGTATCAACAAGGCTGGTATCAACTAGGCTGGTATCAACTAGGCTGGTATCAACAAGGCTGGTATCAACAAGGCTGGTATTAACTAGGCTCATATCAACCAGGCTGGTATCAACTAGGCTGGTATCAACTAGGCTGGTATCAACAAGACTGGTATCAACAAGGCTGGTATTAACTAGGCTCATATCAACTAGGCTGGTATCAACTAGGCTGGTATCAACTAGGCTGGTATTAACTAGGCTGGTATTAACTAGGCTCATATCAACTAGGCTGGTATCAACTAGGCTGGTATCAACTAGGCTGGTATCAACCAGGCTGGTATCAACTAGGCTGGTATTAACTAGGCTGGTATTAACTAGGCTGGTATCAACTAGGCTGGTATCAACCAGGCTGGTATTAACTAGGCTCATATCAACTAGGCTGGTATCAACTAGGCTGGTATCAACTAGGCTGGTATCAACAAGGCTGGTATTAACTAGGCTGGTATCAACTAGGCTGGTATTAACTAGGCTGGTATCAACTAGGCTGGTATCAACTAGGCTGATATCAACAAGGCTGGTATTAACTAGGCTCATATCAACTAGGCTGGTATCAACTAGGCTGGTATCAACTAGGCTGGTATTAACTAGGCTGGTATCAACTAGGCTGGTATCAACTAGGCTGGTATTAACTAGGCTGGTATCAACTAGGCTGGTATCAACAAGGCTGGTCTTAACTAGGCTGGTATCAACAAGGCTCATATCAACTAGGCTGGTATCAACTAGGCTCATATCAACTAGGCTGGTATCAACTAGGCTGGTATTAACTAGGCTCATATCAACTAGGCTGGTATCAACTAGGCTCATATCAACTAGGCTGGTATCAACCAGGCTGGTATCAACTAGGCTGGTATCAACTAGGCTGGTATCAACTAGGCTGGTATTAACTAGGCTGGTATCAACTAGGCTGGTATCAACTAGGCTGGTATTAACTAGGCTGGTATCAACTAGGCTGATATCAACAAGGCTGGTATTAACTAGGCTCATATCAACTAGGCTGGTATCAACTAGGCTGGTATCAACTAGGCTGGTATTAACTAGGCTGGTATCAACTAGGCTGGTATCAACTAGGCTGGTATTAACTAGGCTGGTATCAACTAGGCTGGTATCAACAAGGCTGGTCTTAACTAGGCTGGTATCAACAAGGCTCATATCAACTAGGCTGGTATCAACTAGGCTCATATCAACTAGGCTGGTATCAACTAGGCTGGTATTAACTAGGCTCATATCAACTAGGCTGGTATCAACTAGGCTCATATCAACTAGGCTGGTATCAACTAGGCTGTTATCAACTAGGCTGGTATCTACTAGGCTGGTATCAACAAGGCTGGTATTAACTAGGCTCATATCAACTAGGCTGGTATCAACTAGGCTGGTATCAACTAGGCTGGTATCAACTAGGCTGGTATTAACTAGGCTGGTATCAACTAGGCTGGTATCAACAAGGCTGGTATTAACTAGGCTCATATCAACTAGGCTGGTATCAACTAGGCTGGTATCAACTAGGCTGGTATCTACTAGGCTGGTATCAACCAGGCTGGTATCAACTAGGCTGGTATTAACTAGGCTGGTATTAACTAGGCTTGTATCAACTAGGCTGGTATTAACTAGGCTGGTATTAACTAGGCTGGTATCAACTAGGCTGGTATCAACTAGGCTGGTATTAACTAGGCTGGTATCAACTAGGCTGGTATCAACTAGGCTTGTATCTACTAGGCTGGAATCAACTAGGCTGGTATTAACTAGGCTGGTATTAACTAGGCTGGTATCAACTAGGCTGGTATCAACTAGGCTGGTATTAACTAGGCTGGTATCAACTAGGCTGGTATCAACTAGGCTGGTATTAACTAGGCTGGTATTAACTAGGCTGTTATCAACTAGGCTGGTATCAACTAGGCTGGTATCAACAAGGCTGGTATTAACTAGGCTGCTATCAACTAGGCTGGTATCTACTAGGCTGGTATCAACAAGGCTGCTATCAACTAGGCTGGTATCTACTAGGCTGGTATTAACTAGGCTGGTATTAACAAGGCTGGTATCAACTAGGCTGGTATTAACTAGGCTGGTATTAACTAGGCTGGTATCTACTAGGCTGGTATTAACTAGGCTGGTATTAACTAGGCTGGTATCAACTAGGCTGTTATCAACTAGGCTGGTATCAAGTTAAAAATCTCACAATAAATAGTGTTATTATTGTTATTATAACAACAGAAATCATGGAAGTTCTGGATTAAGAAAAGTAAAAAATGTATAAGTTTGCTGGATCTTGGACTGATCTTTAGCATAATCTATATAATCATAGTTAAATTTAACCGTTCAACTCCAGGTTGAGCTTATGCAGCAC